CTCTACACCCAAGTCAACAGCACCCTTCCAATCCTCAACCCCATTTGAGCCGCAGCGGCCTAAGCTTACACCTCCACCTATGTTCTCAGGAGAAGATCCTAAGGTGGATGTTGCAGATTAGGTGACTGTGCAGAGAACCTACCTGAGTGGGTTCAAATGCGACGAGGATGTGAAGTTGTCAACCATCCTAGCCCGGTTGGAGAGGACTGCACTGAAATGGTGCACCTCCACCTCCAGCAAGCAGGGGATGGAAATGTCTGATTAGGCGCAGAGACTGGGGGTGGCTGGTTTCCTGCAGGCGCTGGAAGACCGGTTTGCAGACAAGGAGCAAGCGAGAAAGGCTGCAGATAAAATTATGCGCCTGGGCCAGAAAAAGTTTGACGGCTCCTTGTCCAAACTGTATTCCACCTTTGAGAGTCTGACATCGAATCCAGGTTTGGAGATGAGTGAGCAGGATCTGCTCATTCATTTCCTCAGGGCAGCGCATGATCAATACCAGCTTGCCCTTTTCTCTCAGGGCCAGAAGGACTGGAGGTCCTTTGCCAGAGCAGCCTTGGACTTGGAGTCCGAACTCCATGTCCACGAAGCACCTTCTGAAGGAAGGAAGGGACCCTCCTCCAAAGGGTGAAGAAGGAGGAAGGGTGCCCTGTTTGCTGTTGCAGCGTCTGGTTCTGATAGTGACATAGCATCCCAGGGTGGGAGCCCTCCACCTGGGACTGCATCATCATCAGCTGCAGATCCTGTTCTTGCCCTGGCTGATGCTTTGATGAGCCTGACCAAGGGAAAATCCCAGGCCCAGAAAGCACCAACCAGCAGCAAGGGGAAGAGTAAGGGACGTCCCTCTTCCCCTAGTGTCCAGAGAGTGCCTTTGCCACGAGACGTCCGATGGCTAGCTGACCCACTTGATCCTTCCACCTTCCCCTGGCATGCACTCAGGATCAAGGAGGGGGGTTGGAGGAAGAGGAAGGAAAAGGGGGTCTGCCTGAGATGCAAGGGGGACCATTTCCTCAAGGATTGTCCCAACATGCCTCGCAGGTTTACAGGCAGCTCTAGTTAAAAAAACTAGAGCAGAGAGAGGTGGAAGCAGCAGCTTCTTCCACCAGTGCTGATTCACTTTCTGATGAAGGTGAATCTTCACATTCTCTCGCTGATTCCTCTATTTCAGGAGTTGCATCCTCAGGGTCTTTCACTTTTGAAGACTCTGAGTTGGATGAGACGTGGGAGGAGGAGGATGCTCAGACTATTGCTGATTTTTTCCTGTCTCTGCAGGAGAAGAAAAAGCATAAATCTGAAGTCATCCTGCTTCGACCCTCCATCCTGGGAGCCAAGATCAAAGGGCTCTTAGACTGTGGGGCTACTCGCAATTTCATCTCTTCCAAGGCAGTTAGCGAGCTGCACTTGGACCAGAGATTGGTGAGACTGCGACAACCTTTTGCATGGGTCCTGGGGACCCTTTCACGCAAGTGTGGACATGTCATGCATCATCCTCACACACTACGATCAATAGTCTCAAGTCATAGACAAAGGTAGATGAGAAGAGGACCAAGTTTCACAGCTTATATTATCATAAATATGAATACAAAGTGTTTCAAAATTCCCCTGAGTCCAACGCTTATCAGCGCAACACCAATCTCTTGTCAACTCATCGATATGACTTCAAGTGAATCAGCGCTACTCCTGCAGATA